AAAAAAAAAAAAAAAAAAAAAAAAGAGCCTAGAAAGGTATAGCAATAGCTATAGGGCCAGGGCCAGGCCTGAAAAGTTAGCAGTAGGACATATTGGGGATAGCATAGCGCCCAGGGACAGAAGTGGAATTTGATAGAGGCCCAGTAGGGTTTTTTTCGCAAGTCAGTTGGGTCCGGAACGAGCTCATAGTCTGTAATGGTGGTCCAGGGCCTAAATGCAGTCTGATAGAAGTCTAGGTTCAGGGCCAGCAAGTAGATAGCAGTCTTCATACAATGTTTCATGCCAAAAGAAGGGAACACCACCCAGTCGGCCTCCCTCGCGCACCCAAGCGAGGCAGGTAGAGGCCTGAAGTGTCCAACCAAGAGATACTAGCGATCGGGCACCTAAGCCTATCATTTGCTGCGATTCACAGTCCGCTCCGCTCCTCTTCACCCGCCCCGGGGGTCATGTTGCTGCTCCGCCAAGAGGAGAAGCGGGGGGAGTTCCTGGAGATCAAAGGTGGAGCTCAACGGTGATGGAGGAAACCCCCCTCCTTGGCTATGGAGGTGTAGTAGGGAGAGGTAGGAGTAGTTCTAGGCTATGGAGGTGAGGGAGAAGGGGGAACCTTAGCTAACCCCCGTAGATGTAGTAGGGGTTGGGAGGAGGAGGAAGGTGGAGAAAGGGAGGAGGCGATAACTGGGAAGGAAGTCATTTTCGGCGTCAATGGATGACTTGCATCTTCGTCTCCGAGGTCGGCGCCACAGCAGGAAGGGTCCCCTGACGAGGTACCCATGGGTTATGGATTTCATCTGGAAGAGTAGGCTTGGACATAGATATTGGAGGGGCATGGGAGCATTTGCCCCTCTACACATCCAAGAAGAGCTACCTTCTTCCCCCGAATACAACGTACGGTCATTATAGCTGTATTTGGGCTGTCATCCAGACTAAATACAGATATAATGACCGTACATTGTATTCGGAGGAAGAAGGTAGGATGTTCTCCAATAGCCAGATGCCATATACTGAGGTGGAAAGGAGGTGAGCAAGGTCAAACCAGAGGCCCGCCTGTTTACAAGGCTGGCAGTACGGGGGACTACTTCGGAGGACATTCGTCGTTCTCGCTCATTCAGTCATTGCCGTAGCTTATAATTGTAAATAAGACGATTATGCAGATAATGCGGGTGAGAGATGATGGTAGAGAGATGCGGGACCAGGAGATTGGTTGGTTCCTGCTTGTCTTTTTCTTCTTCTTCTTCTTCTTCTTCTTCTTCTTCTTCAAGTTATTCTTCTTACTCGTACTTTCCTCCATTCTTCTCCTTCTTCTTCTTCGTTGTCTTGTTTCAATCATTCTTCTCCGTCCTTTGTCTCATCATTCTTCTTTCTTTCTTTCTTGATCTTACTCGTACTTCCCTTCATTTCTCTCGTTCTTTGTCGTCTTGTTTCAATCATTTTTCTCCTTCCTTTTGTCTCATCATTCGTCTTTCATTCTTTTTTCAATTGAGATGCAATTGATGAAGGAGGGATGAGGTAAGACGGCATTGATTCCAGCTTTGTGTTTGTCTTCTTCTTCTTCCCCTTCTCTTTCGTCGTCTTCTTTCCTTTATTCTTCTCCTTGTTCTTCTTCGTCTTCTTTCCTCCCTTCCTTCTCCTTCTTCTCGGGTTGCAATTGAATGTCATCATTTTCTCTTCTTGAGTTTGGCAATATGAGCTGTACAAAGATCATAGCGCATTTCATTTCCATGTCGAGTGTTTTTACGGACGAAGGTCAACCCTCAACAACTGTACCAAGTGCTCAACAAGCCAGGGCGCCGGGGGGCCTGGACTCTGGAAGGGGGGGGGGGGAGTTGTCAGAAGGAAGTAAAGCAGTTTAGTGAGCGTCCACAAATTTACATAGAACGGTGATACTGCGCACGTTCACTGTAAATTTGCGGACGTTCACCGCAAATTTTGGTATCACTGTTCACCAAAAACAGAATGAAGGGGAAAAAAAACATAATCCATCTTCTCCTGCGCAAGGACGACATACATAAATCGACGGGAGGGGAGGGGAGGGGAGGGCAGGGGAGGAGGGGGGGCGCCGCCTGGGGGGACATAATCCATAGATTCCATACCTTTCTCAGCCTTTTGGCCAAGTAAGATCAAGTGTAGTATCTGTTCTGATCGAGGAAAAGAAAAAAGAACAGAAATTCCGAGAAGCAGACGGGGGGTCGATTGCAATTTTTTGGGCAAAATCTCAAAAGTGCATACTGCATACACTGCCCGCGCATTGGCAACCAGCGAAGAATGAGAAGGTCAACCGTGGCCCTCGGTCCACGACTACTCACCAAATCACCAAAATCAGAGTGGACGTTCCTCTATGAGATGTGAAGATGCAGCGTCATATTTTTTGTCCTCCGTGCATGGGTAGAGCAGTGGAGCGGCGGGAAGGCGGAGGAAGATGACATGAAGGAACGCAGCTCTGTTTTGACGACAGGCAAACCACGTGCCCTACCCTCCACCATTCCATCCCAGTCCTTTGACCAAGAGTCCTTTTCTCCATCCCCCATTCGTCACTGGTTGATGGATTGATACTGAAGTGGAACAAAATGCGTTTACGTCACAGACACAAGCGAGACACACACGGTACACAGATATGCAAAAGTGTTCACTAAGGGGTATGAAGTACTATGAACCCAACAACTCGTGGTAAGGGTCCTTTTTTTGGGGGGGATCCCACGCATTTCCACGGCGAGCCAGCTTTGAAAATGAACTGGCTGTTTCTTCTCTTGGCCTCTGCAGCACGGTGGCAGCACGGGAACGAATTGTGCCAAAAGCGCCCGACCCCCTACCTCACCCCCCCCCCACCCCCCCCCGAAAGTCAACGGTTTTGATTTTTTTTATTTTTTTATTTTTTTTTCGGTCGTGCACCACTGGTTCTTCGCATCGCGGTGCAGCCATTTTGGCATACGTTTTTAGAAAAGCCCCCCAAATGTCGGGCCTGTGGGAACCGAAGCCATTGGTTCTTCGCATTGTGGCGCAACCCATGTCGCCATATGCATATAGGACAAGTTCCCCAAAGGTCGGGCCTGTGGGACGCGAATTTCCTTTTACGGATCGAATGCCACGGTGCCACGGGTTCGCGGAATCCGAGGACCGTTTTCCAAGTTTTCCGTAAAAACCAAGTGTGAGATCAGAGACCCTGAAAAGATTGATACACAATGAAATCCAGTACCAGTCTCCCTACGTCGGTTGGGGGGTTGCTGTTAGCATATTCCTCGCAGAGAGCATGACACATAAGGCCGAACGTACTTTATTTCATCAAATTTCTCAACGCAGCTCTTTATCGACGTGAAGCAGGAAAAAAAAAAAAAAAAAAAAAAAAAAACCCTTCCCTGCCCGTCATCATTCAATTGCACTCCCCTGACCAAGATAGCTGTTTTTGTTCCCCCGCCATTTTCTTGGATGAACGACTCGTCCGTACATCGCCCGCCGGTTTGCTCGGGCTTAATGTTTGCATATTCCCCCCCCCCCCCCCCCCCCCCCCTTTCCTAATTAAGAAAGATTAGCTCCTCTTTCATGCCTGCCTGTTCATTGAGCACAACTTGATCGGCCATCCGTCCCACGTCCATAAATCCCATCTTCTCAAAATTGATCGACTTAATCCCCATGTCTGTCAATCACTTCCAATCCATTTCCGGACCAGTGCCAAACTCCACATTTAAACGACTTCTTTTTTTTTCAGCGCCTCACCACAAGTCTCTCGAAATGTGAGAAAGACAAAAATGTGAGAAAGACATCCGTTAAAATTGGAACGATACAAAGAAGATTAGCATATAAAAAAAAAAGGCAGAAAGAGAAAAATATGGCAGAAAGAAAACATATGTCAGAAAGAGAAAAATATGGCGTGTGGAGCAAAATGGTTGAAACAAAAGTGAAACCTCGATGCATTCATTTGTTTAAAGTTTAAACTTTCAAACCACCACTACCTCTCCCAGCCTGTTTTTGCCGACCCTGACTTTCACTGCACACCGAGTTTTGCCAAGCCTGGTTCTCATTGTATTTTCTTTCCTGGTAGTCACGGCCATTGCACCTGGGAAAAAAAAAGAGCCATCGGATAGCCATTGGATCCATTCTATGAGGCGCTGGTGACACTGTGCCCTAAGTGCGGGCACCTGCAGGATGAAAAACAATGATGAAGGGAGGCTACAAAAAAAAAAAAAAAAAAAAAAAAAAACCCTTCCCTTATGCTGTGATCGCCGTCCGATACAGGACGTTGAGTTCAACGTCAGTGCGGCAGTTAGGTGCCCCGCATTTTTTTTTTCAAGGACGTCTAAGGCTGGTGTTTTACTTCCCCTCCTTGAGAGCCTTCCGAAACAAACGAAGGAAAAAAAACATGAACTCCCTTTCTGCCGTGATTGCGGTCCGATAGAGGTCACTAGAGTATCTGAGTATAACATGAGCCTCGCCGTTGGTAGCCCTGCGTCGAATCAGTCCTGCCTGGCTGGCAGGGCACGGATAAGCGAAGGCAAACAAGAACAGTCTGAAAAACACAAAAAAAGAGAACATCTGCAATCACGTTCCCCATATACTGGGCAGATATATTCCTCAAAGCAGTCCTGTGACTTCCACCTCCGTGAGGGTTGAGGGTTCCCCCCCGTCACTGGATTCTTTCCCCTTGGTGTCGTTTTCCTTCTTTTTTTCCTTACCGCGGACCCATCCTTTTTCTTTTCCTTTCTTTTTTTTCTTTCCCCATCTTGCAATCACGTTCCCCGTATACTGGGCAGATACATTCCTCAAAGTTTTCTTTTCCTTTCTTTTTTTCTTTCCCCATCTTGCAATCACCTTCCCCATATACTGGGCGGATACATTCCTCAAAGCAGTCATGTGACTTCCTTACCGTGAGGGTCCAAATCTTTTTTCTTTTCTTTTCATGCCGACCCTCGGCCGCCGGACCCCAAAAATTTCCTTTCATGCCGACCCTCCGCCGCCGGACCCAGAGGGTCCCAATTTTTTCTTTTCGTTTTCTTTCATACCGACCCTCCGCCGGAGGCCCGAAATTTGCGGTTGAGGTCATTTTCCCAAATGGCAGCTTGGAAACGCGGTGCATCCCGAAAAAAGAAAAAAAGAAAAAAAAGAAACGTTGTGGTTTCCCCACCAGCACGACCTCCGACCCTGGGTCATTTTTGCCAAGCCTGATTTCTACCGCGCACCAAGTTTTGCGGAGCCTGGGTCGTATTTTCTTTTCTGGTACTCACGGCACCTACATCCAAAAAGCAACCAAAAAACACGAAAAAAAAAACAAAAAAAAACAGTAGCTTCCGTTGTAGCCATCAGATATAGGGCGTTGCCGCACGGCACACGAAAGGAAATACGAAACGAGTGCATCTTCCGGCAGAAACTGGCCAGGTTCGTCGGTTTGATATAAATAGTAACGACTGTATTTCGCCACCTTTAGCTGGCACATGCACTCGTTTCATTTTCTTTTCGTGTGCCGTATGGCGAGGGTCCATATTCTATGAGATGCTGGTGAGACCGTCCCACTTTTTTTTTTTTTTAAGAAGAAATATTTGGTTATACTCGTCAAGATCCAACATCGAGGTCCGAACACGGGTCTGTATTTCCACAGTTCAATGGTGTACCCACTGAGCTAGGCTCTTGGGTTTTACATCCCACTTTGCACTGGTATCACTTCCATCTCCGTGAGTGCCTTCCCCACCGAAAACCAATGAAAAAAAAAGGGAAAAAAAAACAAAAAACTTCCCTCATGCTGCGATCACCGCCTGATACAGAAGCTGTAGTGTTGATGTGAGTATGTCGTAAGTGAGGCAGCTATGGGCCAGATCCCACTACCACCTATTGTTCATTTCTGACCGTTGATCTTTTTTTCTTTTTTTTCTTTTTTTTGTGGCCCATTCCTCAATTTATGCGTGTCAACCTTGAAAGCGCAGGGGCCATGCTAATCTTCTCTGTATCGTTCCAATTTTAACGGATGTCCCGAAGGACCCCTTGATCTTTGTAATCGAGGGTGAAAAATGAATAATCCAGGGTAGTGGGATCTGACCCTATACCTATACCTGCCTCCCGTGAAAACCGCCCTGCCTCGCTGGCATGGCACTGAAACGAAAAAGAGAACAAGGAAAACAAAAGCGCAAACATAAAAAATCACCTTCCTTACATACCGGCCAGATACACTCCTCAAAGCACTGGTGTGACTACCGCCTCCGTGAGGGCGGACCTTCACAACGTCCACGTTCTTAGTTTTTTTTTTTTTTTTTTTTTTCCCTCACCCCTCATCGAGGGCCGGCGGAGTCACAACAATCTTCTTTTTTTTTTTTTTTTTTTGGTTTCCTCCCCCCCTTTTTTTTTTTTTTTTTTTTTTTTTTCCTACCACCCCCCCACTGGAAAGGTAAAGGTGGTTTTTTTTTTTTGGTGTCCTACCGAACTTCGCGGTTGAGGTCATTTTTCCAAATGGGACTACAGTTTGGAAAGGTAAAGGTGGTTAAAAAAATAAATAAAAAATAAAAAAAATCCGCCACTCATGCCAGCAACCATTTCATAGGTAAAAAGAAACTCCCCTTATGGGCGGAAAAAAAAAAAAAAAAAAAAAAAAAGACTGCATTTGCGTCCTCCAACAGAAGATTGTCGAATTTCCAACCAACCCTTCTCTCACATTTACAAAATAAAAAAATTCCCTCGTTTCACTCGATTTTTCACCTCCTCAATTAATCACCTCGTCGTCATCCCCTGTTCGCCCAAAATCGACTAATCACGACACACTCGCTCACCCCCACTCTCAATCCCGATCGAGCATTCTACCACCCACCATCGATTGGCGCGCTATGTTAAAAATTAAGCAAAACGAGGTGTACATAATCCGATCGTTCATGATGTGTACGCAAAAGAGTTCCCGATACAAAGAAGATAAATGTGCACAGTTTGTTCAGGACTTGGGGACTGAATGCGAAAAACTAGCTCCGCTGCCAAAGAAAAAAAACTTATACACGTAACGTGCCTCTCTATGTACAGTAAAACGCGATGGATCGGACGCATGAGCAAAAGAGACAGTTGAGGGAGCTGCATGAGTACATAGCAATCGTTTGGTGCGGACACTTCGATGAAGAAGGGATAGCAAATACGCTCCTAATTCAAAATCTCCATAGCAATATACGTGTATAAAGAGAGAGAGAGAGAGAAAAAAGCACATATACATACATATATATGTGGAGAAAGAAGTATATATTGTCACACTGTGAATCGGAGCGCAAAGGCGGAAATAAGCAAAAGAACGAAAGGAAGGAAAGCCCCACCTGTTCATCACCTCTTATATGAAGAATATAGAGAAAGAGAGAAGTATATATGTATATAGATATGAATAGAGAGAGAGAGAGAAAGACAGATAGACCGGAGAGATGGCAAGATCGCATCGCGATCTACTCCTGAGGGGATTCAGAGCAATCTCATCGTGTAGCAGCGATTCGACCATCCTCCATGAGTCGTTGATTGATTGATTGGACTCCTGTTCGCTGCAGGCGAGCCATCGATCGATCAGCAGCTGATTGATGACACTTGGCAATTACGCGTGCCTCCAACTCATTGTTGGAAGATTCAAAGAAAAATTACGACGATTATTTCCATCATCCGTCAACATTCTACCAGGCAGACAGCGCGAGTTTAGAGAGAGAAACTACGACTTCCTGATCAGTTTTCCTCGTCCGCTCATTATCCCCCGATCGCAATCGAAAAATTTGGAATAGGCGTTTCTCTCGACCAGAGGGTGCTCCTTGGCTCGCCTGGGAAGACCATGAATGACCCCTGCCTCCAACATAACTTGTGACAGTAGCGATGGAAGAGCAGCAGGTGTGTTGATGGATTTGTGGATACGGCCACCATCGTAAACTTAATAGTATTAGTGACAACCGCGGGGGTAAATTCCCGGCGCGCAGTGACGCTGACACGATTTATTTGTCCTGTCCAAAACTACAAGCGCATCTTCCTCACCGACGGGCCTAGCTCAGTTGGTACACCCATGAGCTGTTGAAAAAAATTTAGACTAGATCGCATCCAGATAAAATCAGATGACCAGAATATAGTCGTTCTGACTTATCTCGGCCCGGTCAGTTGTATAATGATATCGCAAGCGGCCGTCGCCCTTTCAAAAACAACGAAAGTAAATGCGAGCCTGCCCCCTTTCTTGTAGCAGTAGGCGATCTCGCTCATCACAAAAGAATGACGAATTTACCGACGAAACCGACTTCCAACACGCTGCGAGAAAAGTTTACGAAACAAGGGAAACGAGCTGCAAGAGGAGAGAGAGAGAGAGAGAGAGAGAGAGAGAAAGAGAAAGAGAAAGAGAAAGAGAGAGAGAGAGAGAGAAAGAGAAAGAGAAAGAGAAAGAGAGAGAGAGAGAGAGAGAGAGAGAGAGAGAGAGAGAGAGAGAGACGCTAGAGAGAGAGAAATCAAACTAGGCAGCAAATAGAATGAGATAAGAAATAGGTGAAAGAAAACGGACAGAAAACCCAAGTTCGACAGAGAACCCCCTCGCTGCGGGGAGTGGGGGGGAGTGGAGAGGGCGAGGAGCCGGAAAAGGGGAGGAAGATGAGTGAAAAGGGGAGGGGGGAGGGGGACGACGTCAAATGACTCTCGACTACCTATCTACAAGTGAGCGATTGTTTATAGACGTAAGCTGTAGCTGCGACGGATTATATCCCGTCCATGAGGGAAGGCCTTGTCGCTGCTGCGGCTATCGGTAGGCAGGCCAGCAGCAGCAGGGCAGGCAGGGAGGCAAGCAGCGCGTTGCCTGGTCATCATCATTTATCATCAATCTACGGGGAAAGCATCCTTGAAAGCAGAATTCGTCAGGCAATTCTCATATATCTTTTTGATGTAGGGAAAGTCCTTCAAGTCGATCTCGACGTCTGGCCCTTGGGAAATATGAACTTGAGGGATCAAGAAGACGTCCGCCATCGTCGGCATATCTTCGTAGCAGTACCTCCCTGGTCTCACACTGATGTCGGCCAGCTTCGACTCCACCTTTCCAAACCCCTCCCGCAGCCAATGACGCCTCCACTCTCTCACCCAGTCAGGACTCTTGCCGCCCTCATCCATCAAATAGCGCACAACGCGGTAAAACCCGAACGGTTGGATCTCGCAAGCCACGTACGTGGCAATAGATCGGACGGCGGCGCGCGCAGTAGCGTTCTTGGGGAGAAGAGGCGGTCTCGGGTACATCTCGTTGATGTAGTTGAAAATGGCGCCGGTCTGGGTAACCCTGTGTCCACCGTCTTCCAACCATGGCATGGAACCTCCGCCATCGTCGACGTGGAGGCCATTACCTCCTCCTTCCCCCCCTTCTCCTACGCCTACGCTTTCTCCTATACCTCCCACCGAAAGTGTAGTCGTCGTCGTTCCCGCCGTCGCTGGTGCTCCGTTGGTCATCGACGCTGCAGCTAGCGGTATGAACTCGTACGGAACGCCTTTCAGATTCAACGTTATGCGCGCCAACATGGACGTCGGACTGGCGGGAAAGCCATGTAGTTTGATGAGCGTGCCCGTCGCAGCGGCAGCTGACGCCGCCTCCGCCGCCGCCGCCGCCGCTGGCGTCGCGGCAGCCGACGCCATCGTCACCTCCCAATCGTTTTCTTTTTTGCTGCTGATCGCAGCCGCCGCCCCGCCGCCGCCGCCGCCGCCGCCGCCGCCCTCACAACGTCGTCTCCTTGCTTCTCGCCTTTCCGCGTGTCAACCAGTCCCCCAATCCCCCACCCGCAGCCAGCGCCGTGGCTTTCGTCGTAGCTCAGCTCTCGTTCGTAGCTTCCGATGGCCTTCCCGCTTCTTCCCGCCCGGCGGGGACTCAGCGCGGCACCACCATAGTCACGGGCGTAGATATCCATGTTCATATGCCGCCCACGAGATCGGCGATAGGCGGGAGGACCGCGATGCGCCCGCCCACGGGCATCAAGAGACAAGCGCCCGGCCGCGCTCGCGCGCAAGCGCTCGTCCACGCGCCCGCACATGGCGGTAAGCAGACATGCGGCCGGAAAAGTAGTCCCAGTGAGACTCACATGGCTGGGTGCGTCTCCTCGGACCTGGCGCGCTCGTCCCCGAAGCTGAGGGCCTGGTTGCACCACTCGCCATCCATCAAACTTATGAACGCATCTGGACAGCTGCGTGCCCGGATGCATTCAAAAATGTTAGCCGATGGCGAGTGGTGGTTCACCTAGCGTAGGCCCTGGGGGCCCCGCCGAGACCGAGCCTCTCGCCCGAGGTATTCCGCCCCGCCCCGCCCCGCCTCTCGTGTGCTTCATGGCGCGCCAAAGCACCTTGCGCGAGGGTCCGCTTACTCGGATTCGCCCTTTCTGGCCGTCGATCGTCGTAATCTAAGGTCACCGAATGAGAAGAATCGAAGGGAACTCGACCTCCACCGCACTCCCCAAATGTGCAGTTCAGAATGGTGAGTGTCCGAAACGGAAAGTACGCTGGCAATTTCTTTTTTTTTTTTTTTTTTGGCAACTTTTTTGTCTTTCTTACAGTCGGAGAATACTCCGTGTTTCCGACCCTTGGCGAGAAAGCCGGAGAAGCACGAATGGATCTGAATCTTCCTGCACCTAATGACCAGATGCGTCTGTTACCATGAATAGCAACATTCGTTTCGACAGTGGTGTGGTGTGGCAAGGCCCTTGTGCTGATCTGCTGAAGTTCTGCAGTGCGTTGCAGCAAGACGCTATCTACTGGCCTGTGGAGACTGTTTGATCCGCTAATCACCACTGGGTAGCCACTCGTCCTGAGCTGGCAGATAGAGTAAGAGTGAGTTTCACAGCGGCAGAGATGAGGAAGCAAGGATGCATGCACGGAAGAGGAGGGCGGAGAGGTCTGCGGGTCCATGGTGAGGCCAGGGGAAGGGCTTGTAGCTGGTCGAACCACAGTGCGGAGGATTAGACCAATCTCCAAGCAGCTATCCGATCTCTACGGACACGTGGGCTCGCCAGCAGCATGGAGGATTAGATCAATCTCCACCCAGCGATCCGATCTCTACGGCCACGTGGGCTTGCCAAGATCGTCCCATAGCTGAATAAGGGCATACTCACACTAGCACGTACTTCCGCAAATTTCACGTATGTGAAGTTGCGTTATATGGCACCTGCGGGTCACACTGGTCACCCGTTTGTTGCCCAAAGCAGAAAAGACAGGGTCGCAATCTGGCCGTGAGATGCGAAAATAGGTTGTCTGCAGTCAGACAGCACAATGCACTTTTTTTTTTTTTTTTTTTGCTTCCAGAAAGCAGTAGAGGAAAAAGAAATATCCTGACAGCACAATGCACATTTTTTGTCCAGGGGTGGTCAATTTTCATCAATATCCTGACAGCGATTGAGAGCATTGAAATTATCCAGGAGGAACAGGTGGATATGGTGGTTTTACTTCTGGATATGGAGAAGGCCTATGATAGGGTAGGCTGGTCTTTCGTGTTAACCACATTGAGGAGGATGGGGTTTGGTCCCGGTTTCTGCAAATGGGTTGTTGCCATGTACACACTGGCAACATCGGCAGTACAGGTGAATGGACACCTATCCAGCCCCTTCCAGCTCTCGCGGTCGCTCCCCCAAGGATGTCCTCTGGCTCCGCTGCTGTTTGTGCTGCAGTTGGAAGTGCCACTCAACAAAATGCGGAAGCACCCCTTGATTAGAGGTTTACCAGTGGCTGAGGACAGAGAGTGCAGGGCTAAGGCCCTGGCAGATGATTTGTTTCTGATCTCAGCCAATACAGCAGAGTCCTTGGGGGCAGTGAAATCAGTTTTGTCAGAGTACTCGTTGCTGTCCGAAGCCCAAGTAAACTGGGGTAAGTCCACTTACCTATTGCCAGAAGGTTTGGAGCTGCAGGTGGAGTGGGGGATGTCGAAAGTAGTTCCGAAGGAGGGGGAGCGCTTCTTAGGGGTGATGGTGAGTACACCCATCTAACGGGAGCGGTACAAGGTCACATCTTACAGCAAAAGATCACTGCAAGGCTCAAAGTCTGGGGGTCGGCGTGGCACCTGTCACTATACGGGCAAGCATTGGTGATTAACGGGGCGCTGTTTGCCCTCCTCTGGTTTGTGGGTACAGCAAGGGAGTTGGACCCAGCAACAGACACAGCCATCAAAAGGTTGGCCACGCGGTTCCTATGGAAGCCAAGGGCGGGGGCAAAGGAGGGCTTCATCGCTAAAGTGGCCTGGGACTTGGTTTGCTAACCAAAAGAACAGGGGGGGCTGGGCCTGATCGACCCATCGCAGAGGAACCAGGCGCAACTAAGACACTGGTTAGTGAAGGTGGCATTGGCAGATGAGCAGGAGGATTGGATCCTTCTCGCTGAAAGGATTATTATGAGGGATTGGGAGCTAAGCAGAACTGAGGATGTGTAGTTGTGCTTTTTCGTGGATTCCTTTCTGCGGAAGAAACTCTCATCGGAATTTTGGAATGCAGTGAGGAAGGCGTGGCTCAAGCAGCGTCCTGAGGTACTGACCCTTCCATCCACGAGGGAGGAAGTGCTGCAGCAAAGCCTGTTTGAAAACACGTTCGTACTAAATGATGATGGGCAACCATTTGCAGCCAGGGGGGCTGCATGCACCTTTGCGAGATCCTGGATCAGAAGGGGTGTCTCAAGAGTCAAAGACTTGTGGTCCCCTTTGACGGGTTCTTGGATACCGCTCAACGAACTTTTCGCAAGACTCCATGATTTATGGAAGATCATCTGTGTGCGCTTGGAAGGAGTGTTCTTCGAAAGTGGGGACCAAATTCTGGGCCCGGAAGGGGTAGACCAAGTTGGAGGATGGTATGAAGGAGAGGGGGAGATTTGGAAGGTACTGAGTATTACTCAGAGTGGGTTTCGCGAGGTGCAGTGTTGGAGGACCACAGAGGACTCAAGGGAACTAACCTTGCAGGGGGAAGAGGTCATTAGCCAGTGGCACAACCCCCCTCAGGTGCGGGTCGTCCAAACTTTTGACAGAAAGGGGAACCTAAGGACCACCACATGGGTAGGGAAGGCCCCGTTGAGAAGTCTGAGGATTGACCCAGGAGCGTTGCAGTGGCTGGCGAGAGGCGAGGGGTTCTCCAACACACGAGGCAGGGATCTGACAAGTTTCTCGGTCAGAGAATCGTACAGAAGGGCGGGGGCTGGTAAAAAAAAAACGGCAAGTATTGCGATTTCCAGATGGAGTGTTGTACTGATGGAAGATCTGCAAGGAAAGGAAAGGGATTTTTTGAAGTTATGGTGTACCCTCCTCCTCATTCCGGACCTGAAGCAGGCAAGCCTGCTGTGGATGCTTTCGCTGTTGGTTACTGCTTCGGCGGTATGGCTCTGCAACAAGGGAATGAAGGTTCACTTGGGATGTTATCGCTGCACGTGGCCATTCGAGTCCACCAAACACCTCCGGTGGGACTGTCCGGCATCAAGAAGGATTTGGAGGTGGTGGGAAGATCATTGGACTCGGATGGGAGGAAGTGGTATAAGTTGGAACGAGAAATGGGTTTTGTGGGGAAAAATCACTCAGGCAAGGTAGGCTGGGCATACGTAGCCCAGGTGGTAAGGGCGGTAATCTGCGCGGTTATCTGGGCTGACCGAAACCGCTCCAGATTTGAAACCCGGCCAGGCTGGGCATATGTAGCTCAGGTGGTAAAGGCGGTAATCTACACGGTTATTTGGGTTGACCGAAACCGCTCCGGATTTGAAACCTGGCCTTTCTCAGACTTGGAACTAGTTTCGATTAAGAGAGGACTGAGAAGAGTTATTTGGGCGGACTGGAGGAGGAAAGCAAACTGCGGGAGATGGTCGAGGAGACATTTGTGGTGGTTTTTGAGAACCTGGGCAACAGGAAACCAATTAGCAGGGTCCACTCTACAAGGGGCTTGGTGGTGGCCAGATGGCTGAATAGGTAAGTCGGTGGGAAGGGAGGATATCTGGGTGATTAAGGGAGTGATTAAATTAGAGAGGACCAGTGCATCTCGGTCAGTAGGGAGGAGGCTAGAGAGGGTCATAGGAATAACCAGGGAACTCGGTTGTTAGGGACGCAATGGTCCAGTAGGGTTGTTTAGGCCTGGTCGCCGCTTTAGGCGTGAGTAGGTAGATGGTTCAAGTTGAGGCTGTTTGTGGAGTTAGTTAAGTAAACTCGAGAGGTGATGGAAGTGATCAAGTGTTAGAGGCAATTATTTAGTTGAGGAGAGTTGTTAAGTTGTTCGCTCGCGGTTCAACCGGGGCGTAAGCTAAGCTAACTGATGCGGTCAGATACAACCGGGTTGAATTGTGAGGTCCTCGACCTCTATGATTTCGAAATTGAATTGTCATTCTTGAAAAGAAAAAAAAAAAAAAAAAAAAAAAAAAACGATTTTACGGGGACCTCTGGGGTGAGGTCCCACTAGCAACGGGATAGGATAGAAACGAGTTTTTGGGGCAGTTGAGTGACCCAAATCCTTCCATGCAGTACTCGTGATCCCACGGTCAGTACTTTACATGTATAACCCGAAAAAATAAGATTTATGTTCCCCTCCTGCTCTCCTTAACACTGGGCATACCCATGCAAAGAAAGCTTCCCGCCATAATCTTTTCAATCGGTTGGGGGTGTGGCCAACCCCAAACGAGGTTGGGGTCGGCCTTAGCCCACTGGATAGAAGATTTTCAGCATTTTACTTGCTGTTGTGCAATTATCTCATTGGGTGGAGCCCTCCTTCAATCACGGAGTATATGGAGGGTGTCAGGATCACTGCTGACAGAAGTCGAGTGGGTGTAAGCTAAGCTGACTGATGTTGTTAGATACAACCGGTTTGAATTGTGAGGTCCCCGGCCTCTATGATGTTGAAATTGAATTGCTATTCTTAAAAAAAAAAAAAAAAAACGATTTTGCGGGGACCTCTGGGGCGAGGTCCCACTAGCAACGGGATAGGATAGAAACGAGTTTGTGGGGCAGTTGAGTGACCCAAATCCTGCCATGCAGTACTCCTGATCCCACGGTCAGTACTTTACATGTATAACCCGAAAAAAGCAAGGAGATCTTTGTTCCCCTCCTGCTCTCCTTAACACTGGGCATGCCCGTGCAAAAAAAGCTTCCCGCCATAATCTTTTCAATCGGTTGGGGATGTGGCCAACCCCAAACGAGGTTGGGGTCGGCCTTAGCCCACTGGATAGAGGATTTTCAGCATTTTACTTGCGGTTGTGCAATTATCTCATTGGGTGGAGCCCTCCTTCAATCACGGAGTATATGGAGGGTGTCAGGATCAC